ATCTTTGTCTTAAGCTTAAAGCGAGGTGGTTTCATACCTAGTGTTTCAAAGTCTTATGCCGGTGATAGGTCATCATCCGATGTAAGAAGGAATGGTATATGTGTTGTACATAGTCTTCTGGTTGACATTTAGACGACAGCTTTTGGAATGTTTACAACAGTTAATGTTTGTCGCCAAGTGAAAACAGACACGCCTCAAGATACAAAATCTGCCATTTGTCATCATGACCAAACACCACCACCGCTTACACACTTGAAACATTGTTATTTCATTTACTAACCCATTGAACCCAGCCCTCATCCATCTCGGTTGCATAAATTTAGCTTACAGAAATATCATCCCCTTCGAATCGATAACACTAGTAGTCCGCACTTTTGAAGCCAGGGCGCTCAGTAACCCCCCAACATCACCGGGAATTAATTTGCACCCAGATAACTTGGTTTGGGTCACTTGCGGCGGAAAGTAACGTTACCTGCTCAAAGCAGAAGAAGTTCATTCTGATGATCCGGAACCGAAAATGCTTGGTGCCCCTACAACGCTTGTCTAAATATGCAGGACTGCGATTCTTACACTGCAAAACAAAATGATTTTGCCGAGTTGGTCCACAGTGGCAAACTCAAACATCAGCTATACTTGGCGAAAAAATTCAGTGTCAGTTATAAGATGCTTTACAGACACATTAAAAGGCTCTGGAGAACACGGCGCAGAATTCTAGTTTCTACTTGCAGCAGATAGTCTGTCACCTAACTACACAAAGACATGAAACACTCTTCGGCGACAGTTTCGCAGTAATTTTCAGAGTGAATGGTCTTCTCACCCGTTTTGGCACAGCTAATCCGCCCCCAGCGTTAAGCCACATATCCTTCACTACAGCGAATCTGATGAAAAGAATATTGTCCTTGGGCGTGCACAGCTCTCCTGGTGTGGACAAAACGGGAAAAGAAAGACAGCTGCCATAAAAACCGCTGAAATGTTCGTTCGGTTCTTTCAACAGATTCCAACTATGTGGAAACAGGGAATAATCACTTATTTACGAGAGTGACAATCATATAGCTTTTTCTAACAACCACCTAATCAAGTTATTTTCCGATGTTCTCTAAAGTATCTGAAGGTTCTATCGTAGAAGCGCTTACATGATACGTTGAGAGAAATCCCATTACAGGATCACAGTAGCATAAAACCCGCCGAAATCGCTTCTGTACTACGAGTATGTTGCCTCTCCGAGCAAGCTGGGCGGTGTCAGTCGGTGCCAGTGTAGGAGTCGACGTCAACTTTCTTGACCACTACCTTCCTCTCCACAATCTGGGTTGGATAATCAAATTCCGCATTAAACATCTGCTAGATGTGAGAGACCGCAGCTCCAGTTCGAACCCAATTGAAGTCCAGTGTGATGTGTCCCGAGGATCGGTTTTAGGACCTCGTTTATTCCTGGTATTAATCAAAGATCTAACTAGCGAGCTTCAATCGTACTACCTACAATTTGCAGACAAAGTCAAGCTCCGATGGGACTTCATACAGAGAACGTTTAAACTGATCTGCGGTGAGATCTCGACATTGCCTATGACCAACCATCTGCAAATCGGCAGTAGTTCAAGGTGGCCAAATACAAAGTTGTTAGTATATATCATCAGCGTGACCAAGAATATCGACATCAGTTACAAGATGCCTCACGGGAAATTGACCTCGGGGTAATCGTGTTTGTTAACCTCGGCTCCTCGAAACTGGTTTAAAATGTATGGAGAAGAACCAGTCAACACCTTGACCTCATACCAAGTTGTTCCTTGCCATCAATTTTCCCCTAAACGCTAAACGCCTAGGTAACACCTTATGTGGATTAGGCGACTTTTGCCTGACTGACCTAGTGCGGTCGATGTTAATGCCCTTGAAAATCCTCAACATAGTGTGGCAAAAATCGTTGGAGGAATGTTTCCGCTCCCCTACCAACGCAGACGGCTAGCCGTGGGCTTGTACAACAGTGATCATCGGCGCCGGTATTGTGACCTTATCATGGTGTACCAACTAGAGGCTACTCCTAATCGCGTTTGTCGCGATTTGTTGCAATTCAGCCACAATACCAACATGAGACACCACCAACTCACATCGGCCACGCACTACAGTCGAATTGATTCCTAACGAAACGTTTACCCCCTTCGAGTATCCAGAACTTGGAACACCCTTCCAACTCGCGTTATTTTGCCAACACGCTTTTTAAATTCGGATTGAATTGCACACACGCGTTTTACTTTATGTGACGTACGCAGTTTCCGTCGCAATCGGAAACAAAGCAAGTTAAACAGTGTACTGACCAGCTCTGCCTGAAAAGTAGCGGCGAAAAGATCAACAAATGTGCTTATGTGAATAACTCGATGCGACACGGTTAATTCCACATTTTTCTGTCATATTGCATCTTTATTTTCTAAACCTCACACTAGTCATCCTACAGGACTTATCAATCATTCACTTTGTTGCCCATTGTTAAGCAGTATTCAAAATTCATTATAGTGTGCGGGCAATATTCAATCCAGAAAGAGTATACAGAATAGACTAACAAACGAAGCCGTCAACTTAATGCATTGGCTTGTATTAAAGTATTTGGCATTCATTTGTTTTCGTTGCTAATTTTTAGGCCTTAGTAACAAACAAAAGTCTAAAAGATAAACCACTTGAATCAATCTAAGGATTGCAAACTTCTCGATTACCACGCAGTTAATTAAAGGTTGGCAAATGTTTGGCGGTACTTGCAATATACAAAAGCGGCTGAAGCTCCTTTCGGAACAGCTGAATGTTTCAGAGAATCAGCTTGTAAGCATAGCAGCGAAATTGACACTCATATACGCACCTTCACATGGTCAGCATCCTTGCAGAGTATTTTCATCATATTATGGTTTTACTAAATGAAGTTAAAAAGAACCTCTTATGCGCTATTGTTGTACAGAAGCCCTGCAGTTCGTTCCCCGGTCCAAAAAATGACTAGAATGCAAAGAAAGCATTTTCCCCAACGGAGCTAAAGAATAGTTGTTCTAGGATGTTCAGAAATAAGGTTTTCTCTACTTAGGATTTGGAGGGGAAATATGTCGTAGTACAAGAATTGCGAATCAGATTCACCATAGCTACAAGCAGACAGGGCGAGCACCGATTGGAAAGCTTATTTGGAAAACTCCTAGCCAATTTCTATATTCTTCAGTTATGCTCTTAGGTTCCGGCTAACGTCCAACTGGCACCCCAGTTCGATCCTTACTATATTTACCTGCTGACCTCAATCAGTTCGCAACCGGTGCTGGATTGCAGTATTTGCGAGTACGCAAGACCCAATATTCACTCGCTTCATCATTAGCGGTCCCAGTGAGGGAACTGGCTAAGGTTCACAAGGATTACTCTTGTATGATTCTTCAGACATTAACCGTCATGCTAACCGTTGCCCGACACAACTCAGTTGCTTAGGGTTAGATACGAAGATGCACCTATTTAGAAATGAAAGTGTTTGACCACGGTGTCATCTAGGTAGTCGTCAATATTCCAGATGGGTTGGAACAATTAATTATTCAGCAGTATAACAAAAGCCATCACTGACAACCCGAATAGCATAAGAGCAAGTTAATTGAGTGGACATTCATTTTCAACCCTCTAGTCAAGCTTTCGTGACATAAGTGTATCGCTTAATATATTGCAAAAGGTTAACTACAGGTTTAAACCCAACGCGTAAAGATGTTAGTTTAATAACAAGATGGAAAAACATAATCAACTATAACCCTAAGTATTTTACAAATACTACATATGCTAGTTACATGCACCTGAGTTAAATTCGACATAATTGGTAAGGCGCTGCCAAAAGTCGATTCTTTTATTATATGAAACATGACTTCGTTCTCGCATGGTGTGTCGAACATTACAGCAAAAAGTTGAACATTTAATACATCAGAACGTACAACTCTGCTATCTGATTAAGCTGATAGCATTGAAAGGCCTGACAGACTATACCAGCTTATTGAAATTGTTATTCATTTACCTCGTATGTGTCATTTCTTATCAAGCAGGTACAGCGATATATACACAATGGCTAACTTCCCAAAGTTGGTTAATTTAGTGATACGCTGATGCATTTAGGAAGGGCTCCTGCGAGACTCTTCTTTCGCACATCCGAGGACTTAATCGGGAACATTGTTTGGGCATGTCTTTCCAAAGTTGAAAAGACTTCAGCGTGACCCTAATCAGCGCAGTGCAGAAATGGTTTGGGTTCTCTCATACTCGTCGTGATTACTATTAACTCTAAATACCCTAAACACTGTCCTTGTTTGCAGGCGTGTTTCAATTAGTACGTTATCCTAATGCGCTATAGTTTTGAAACATCTAGCCCGTCAACGCCACTGAGTAGATTCCTATTGTACTCGAGAAACCAATTTGATCAGTTTGCGATGAAAACTCTCCCATACCTTTGACGAATATCCCACCAGGCATTTGAGGTATACTTCAAACCAATTGCTATCACAATGTGGAGAACGTCCTGGCTGAATATTTAGCCCTAAGAACCACTCGTTAGGTTAGACTCACCCATTTTTCTCTCAGTTTACTTGTGTTTTCAGACATACATGAATAATTCTTTCTTATCGAACCTCTGCTTATATCCTTCTTATACTACATTCACGATGTGCCTGATTACCGTCTGCGTGTGCTCATGACAATTGTCCTACGAGGTTATTTGGAACATGCCATAATATTCTCTTGGTCTGTAGATGATTCCGATCATAGGTACAATGGCACTTTGTGCATATAAAGCGATTCACAAAGGACTATACTACCGCCGCTTTCTACGAATTTGATGTTATTAAACTGCATATATTAGTAGAGCTATATCCTCGCAATTATAGCACAGATTATGGCATAACCTTATATATTTATTTCATTGAGCTGCCGCAAATTTGAGGAAAGAGTCTTGTATCGGTATGTTTGGTTCTCCTACACACGGAAATAGCTATATTTCACTTTTCCCACTTTCCTTACAGGAGAACGAGAAAGATAAAACTAATCTTTATGTAACTAACATTCCCAAATCCTGGACAACCAAGGATAGCGACCAGCTCAAGGTTGTCTTTGAGCGATTCGGGGCGATTCAATCAGCCTTCGTGATGATGGAACGTTCCACCAATCGAACAACAGGTAGCTTTTCATCTGCACTAGCCTTTCTAGCTGTGTGGGACTAAAACTCGTCTTTTAGTCACCGTGAATATACTGCTTATCGCAGCAAACGTGGCGTCAGCCATAGTCGGTTTGCTCTTTGATAAAACTATGGTCATGTCATACGGCAAAATTGAGCCAGTATCTATGATCGATGAAATTAGAACAATCCTTATCCTACATGACCTGACGAGTAGTTGCTTTTTCACCCTTCAAAACCAATTGCTCGGTATTAATGGAATGTCAAGTAGCACACGTTTTTCCATTGACTAGATACAAAAACAAAATGAATAAATAATTAAGAAACAATTAAGCAGGGTTCAGGAAAAGCCCCAAATTCAAAGTCTTAGTCGTCAAAGTGCCATGTTATTTCAATCACCCCAGCATGAAAATGTTTAGATCTATTTTGAATTCTTTACAGACACCTCTTTTCGTCTGATTACCGGCGACTCTGTTCCACACAGTAATTTCGCTAGTACATTTGCTTCAAAGTCATTTATCATCATTTGCTTATTGGAATCAGCTGAGGGAGTTGCCTGCAGAATATCCCACTCCTCTTCTGAATTGCTGAGTTTTGCATATTTACAGGGTCAAGAGACGGCAACCTCCAGAGCAAGCGTTCGAACCAAGTTCTCAAAACATTTACCCGGGTGTAAATCAATGACATTTTAGCCGGCATTTCGACGGCCAGTTTTGTTTTCAGGGAGCGTTATGTATGAAAGCCGGTTGTCGCTAACCATATTATTCCACATAATGTTCTGCATACTGTCTACTCCAAGTGGTCAGACACACACTTATGAGAAAAGCAGGTTACCATGGAGTCTGAATAGGTCCAAATTTGTGCTTGTCTCTGGGAAACTCAAAACGACTAGATACGCTACCTTCAGTTCACTGATCTAAAAACAAAATGAGTGACTGCTAACTAATCATCTTCAGAGCGACGTCAAGATTAAAAATGGGGAATTCGGTGCTTGGGTTCGGAAAGATAAACCACGACCTCCAAATGACAGACATCATTTGTTCTGTATTGGTGAAGTGTACAGGAAAGTCATTTATTTATTATGGGAAATAAATATCAATCCACCCGGTCACGAGTGACCCTAAGAACTTTATTTGTTGCATGCTGATCAGTAGTTTAACTAAATTATGCATCAGCCTACTAGTCTTTTAAGTGATGTAAAGCTTTAAAATGCTACAGGTTGGTAGGCATGAACTCGCTAGCCACTAATGAGTTTTATCTTTTGGGCTGTTGAGTAAAACCCATTGCATAGATGATAAATAAGCAAATGCACACGGATCAGTAACAGATAAATAGACAGATAAATAGAAAACAAGCATTTGGCGTTCGCGGAGTGGAATTTGGTGGCAAAAACAGCATTCAACGGTGCAGGTTTGCTGGAAGACTATTCCCTTGCTCAGAGTACATTTAGCAGTGAGTTACACGTCGTTCATCGGGATATGGTTTCCAAAAGCACACGTTTCTCTAAGGTCCAAAGTGCCATAGACTCTGGGCTTATCTGATAGAAGGCAATTGTTCTAACAAAATTGCACCTCATCCCGAATGGGTGGATCAAACTCGCACTTAGAACAAATGATAAATTTCCGGTATTGCTTACTCGCTACGCCACATTCCAGGAAAGGTTTCAGAGTTGTCCGAACTCGTTAGATATGGAAACAGAAATGCGCATCAGAACATAGACTTTTGGTAAGCTACTTAAAGTCTACTCGTAACCTGCTGGCCTGCAAGCAACCTTTGTCACTACAGTTAATGATACTGCAGAACCAATTCGAGGCGTTTGTTAATCCCTGTTCAGATTGGGATCCATGTCGTAATTGACTCACACAATTAGCGTATCATGGTAACTCCTCCGCAAACAGATCACAGGATGTTCCATCGCAACCGCACAATACAAACTTTAGCACTATTCTATTCTATACTTTAGCAACCTACATTGTAACTTTAAACACATTCCATGACCCGTAAAATTGTAAAACGGAACTTTCTTTCTCTATGCTGAAGCTTTAAACAACCAAATGCACAAAATCCATTTCTGTTTAGCTTTAAAATTTATCCAAAAGCCGAACACCAGAAAAAGTTGCATTCGAACACAAACCCATGGGTTATCGCGTCAACAGCTGCCATCCTAATGCGAAGTGTTTCACACCAATGGGTTGTTTCTAGAACCCGTCACACGCAACTTGTCTGCAGTTATTGCATCTGTTTATCTCTGCTTGTTGGCTGATGAAATTTTCAGCAGGTGACGAAGCCACAAGTAGTGGTAAACACATATGGACGACGCGCGTCTGGAATACCGGTTTGGTGCAGACTTAGATTACATGCCATTTGTGGACATACTGTTGCGTGCACTTTAGAAATCTGGTCGGTTTATCTTCAGGGCGTTTGTATCCCGCTGATTTGGCAAGTTGTTATGCAAAGCGGAGAATGTGAAGAAGCTGGCTTTACTTGCTTGTAAGGGTACATAAACAGTAGAATTGCCTTTAGAATTCAAAGTACCGGAAGCTGTTGATTGCTTGCCGACGCAAAAAGCAGGACGCTCGTTAGGCGGAAGCCTATACCCTTCTGGGAACCTGAGCTGACCTGACGTGACTTTGACCAGATAAACTTCAAGGTTAGACGCCTTAGTTGGTGTCACAAACATCTGAAACCTAGTACTACCCGTAGTCGTACGAATGTGAAAATAATCCTGTTTCAGCATGATTCTGTTATTGGGACGAAAACTGATATTCTATTTAGATTGAAGTAGCACAGCATCTTACTGGGATACGTTGAACGTCAGCACGTCTAAACATAAGCAAACAGCCATCTTACGTCCTGGAAAAACACTGCACTGTCGTCTCATCATTTCGGTATCCATCAACAGTGCGTACGACCACTGATCCTTGTTGCACTGTAAGACGCACAAGTCCTGTTTATTCAGGCTTGTTAACGGTTTGTGAAGATTTGCGAAGAATATATTTGGTGTTCATCTAAACAACAGATTGTTACTCCAGTTCTTCATAAATCCCAGTGAAGTACAGTAGTTTCAAAAATGCTGTCGTAGATTCCCCTGCTGGCAAAGGGAGAAGAACTAGACATAGTTGCCATGATAATATTTTGATATTGATGACTGTGCAGTCAAAAAACGGTGGTTTTGCCCTTCTAGCAATAGTGAGTACTGATTAGCAGATTAAGAGGAGATGCAATATAAATATCATCCAATTTTTTGCCCAAAGTTTGCCCAGTAACCGACAGAAATACTGAATCAATCTAACTGGAAAATCGCCGAGCTTGTATTAAACGATGCTGTTTTGTCATATACCATAAGTACATAGATGTATCACGGATTTGATAAAAATTACAGATAGTACAGCAATTTTTTACGTTTTTAGGTCACCCAGAGTTTAGCAACAGTTGTAGGTGATTCATAAATCTGTGATTTTAAGCGGGCAAAGGGCTACTTCGTAAAGTGTTCCGATTCTTCACAGATTTACGGTAATTCTATGGTTAGTGTATTAAGCCGTGTATAGGTCTAAACCCAGCAGGTCTACACGACTTTTCCTTCTTGCCTTTATGCTGTCTCCGAAATCGATGCATTCAAACTCTTATCACAGTACTGAGTAGGTTAAAATTACTTATGCAACTTAAGTAAGATGATTAAAAAGAGATACGGAAATTTCGGGATACCTGCGATGATATAAGTGTTCCTTTGTATGCAGCTGCTAATTAGTAGTTTTCTTACTGTCTACTTAAAGCAGTTTTTCTCAAAATTGCTAACCGTATTATTGATCTCCCTCTTGTTAGAATTTCATCCTACTTTTTGTGTGACAGCTGTGGACTATTTTTAGGCACTAACTCGACAGATATTTGGCTTAAGTGATTTCCTTTCGTCTTGCCTTTAGCCAGAAAGAACACCAGTCTAAATCTTGTCGTATATAAGCTTCTAAACTTGTCACGAAAAACAAACTGTAAGTCAACCAACCAGTATGTTTTTTGAATTTCAGTATAGTCTCCACAACTAAGCTGTTTGTATCGACACATTCACGGTTTCTGATTGTTTCAGCCCATTTTAACTAATTACAACTTTTCATTTTGTGGCTGCCTATAGAACGGGTACAATCCTTCAATCGCTCTCACCCCTATAGTGACAATTCCCCAGCTTTACTGCCCAAATAAAATCATAAATTCTACTTCCGGATGAGAGTATACATCACTACACACACGCTGACACACGCACACACACACTTAGATGGCTGGTTACTTAAACCGTGAGGACTTCAGAAACCAATAAAGAGCGAGCTGTGTTACCGCGACGGATTGTGGTAAGTTATTGTGTGAGGTTCCACTTTTAACTGCTAGGAAATGACAACTCAAGTGGTTTGTTAAAGGAAAATTGGGCTGGTGTGAAATTGTAAGCGTAGGAGACACGGTTGGGGTAGATAATACTACCTAAACCTCTGCCTTCTGAATGACAGTGGGCACGTATTTAGCTCCGGATCGGTCACCATGGGAACGTTTTGTGTGTGATACTTTCGAAGAATATCGAAAGCCTCATCTATCAAAAAGCAATATACCATCATTTCCTGTCTGATTCAAACTATGGTCGTTGCAAGGAAGTGGAAGTCACCGAAATTTCAGAACAGAACTTTTGTTTTCCATCGTTACCAACTGTATGGTTCCAACTGCCACTCTTTGGGGGACATCGGTGATTTCCTTTGATAAAATCATTGAGTAAAAGGACCAATATAAGCGCATATTTTAGAAAACTACAGCACAGGATAATGTTCTATCTAGGCTTGCTGGATTATTACAGTACTATGTGTGTCAATAACAGAAATTCAGAAACAAAACAGCATAGAAACATACAACCAGCTTTGCAGTTACTTTAACCATGAAACAATGTTCTGCCTGTGAACAAACACTAGTAAACTATATTTGATAAGCAACCATTGTAAGTAAGTAGCTCGGGATGTCCGCGCAGTGCGGTACACTCGGTAATAGTTCTTTTTACAAGTATGTGTCCAGAGCCAATCACAATTTGAGTCCGCATGCGTGACAAGATCCATGACACAAATACATCGTCTGCCTGGAACATTGAGATCGGTATCGTACTGTCAATGCTTAGATGAACAAGAGGAGCAAGAATTCGCCATAGTGTCCAAAACTAGCTGAGCTGCTTCCCATAGTTAACATATTTTCTAGTTGAATTCACCTAATTCAACAAAACTAGATTGCCACTGGCAGTGGCTGAACTAAACGAAAAGCCAGACTGCCAGCGTTACATAAAGGTGATGGAGACACATGGGTTTTAAGCACTTCTGATATAAAAAAAACTTTTGTTGCAGCATCAGTTCTTCTGATGTATATGCATCAGGTATCACGTGTAATGCTTCGGTAATTTTGGTGTTGAAACGAGTGATTTTGTTGTCCGTAAAACCCCCACTGGATCTACCAATCGATTTGGTACCTAAAGGGTTTGACGACTATATACCATTGGTGGTGGTTCTGTATGGTGGGTGGGAAACATTTTGTTCATCATAGGCACGCTTTTCATTTTAAGCATTTAAACAACACTAGAACGTATGGCTTTACTCAGTGCTGTGCCTCATCCTTCAAAAGTACGAGTTGCGTGTTTGCACAAATTTATTTCAGGGGCGTTGGAAAACGCAGCTCCAGTTAGCTCACTTAATTACTGGGGCACTACATGAGCCTGGTACTAAGTAACATTGGTGAATACTAGCCGAATGGATAACTATGCTCTCAGCTCTGATACGAACATGAGATTGCTTACAATCCTCAATTAATACATGGTTGCTAAACTTCTCAGTTTATTCTCTAGGTGAAAGCTACTGTCCCCGTGTCAATAAAACAAAGCGCACTGTTACGTGCTAAAATTGAGGATTGACGTCACCTCATCTTCAAGTTGTTTACGTCCTCCTTAAAACATAAACAGCAACAACATTATTCCCTAACCTCCCCATGCTGCGAGGAATTGGTGTCCTATGGGGCCGTCATTCGTATATATAAAACACAAGGCAAAAGATCGGAGACATATTAAAAGCTAGGTTAAATATTGATGGCAGAGCTTTGTTCGGGTTGTACTGATGAGTTTCAATTGAACCAGCTTGAATGCTACTCATAAGGACCTACAGACAACAGAGCATTGGATTTCTTTCGGTAAAACGACGCATGTTGGCCGAAGTTCTCCACTGGATTGGACACAGTATTTCATAGTCTTGTTAATGACCAGACACATTTACACTTTCACACGCGATATCCCAACCGGTTTTACCATAACCTCAAAACTGCCCACGAAAACTGTAATGGATCACTTAAACAAATGTAACCTGAGCCACATATGCTGTGGTTACCGTTAGATTAAAACTATGAGTAGCCTGTAAAATACGTACTCTGTACATAGATGCCTAATTTTCCACTACGAAATCTACCTTTGCTAAGCATGTCACCATCCAAATCAAGCCATGTATCGAAAAGAAACAACTGCCTAGCTGGCGGAACTGGTTTAGCTGGTTCCAAATAGAAAGCGTTGTTCATAAACCTAGCTAGTAGTCTGACACAACACCTGACATCTGGTGCCCAAGCGCCTTCTAGGAATGATTGCCCCAGTAGTTTACAGTCGTGCTGCATAAATGAGACAGCTTATCTCTTTATAGGATAACCAGGTTAGCAGGAATGTTAGCAAAATATGATGTCTGATCGATAAGATGTCAGCAGCTCTGGGCAATGGCTGAACAACCCAGTCTGGGTAAATTAGTCACTTATACGTGGTTGTGCAATTTATCTTATGGTCCCATTCTTTTTGACGTGTTCAGCATAATAGAACAAGGCTAGTTCTCTGGAACACCGCTCTCTAGTCCGATGAGTATAGAATAGTTGATGAGGTTCCATTTCATATGACTGACAGTTGGGCTGCATTCGAATTACCATCTCCAGCCATGCAAAAAATCAAAGCAGTTATGGTAAAAATACGTACAGAAACCACACCAACGGACCGAGCATCCCCACTAACGCCTCGTAGGAAGCAGTGTGTTCATTTGTTTACTCTGGGATCTTTGGCTACAATTCGGTACATCTAAGAGTTTCTTCAGCCTTACAGAGTTTCCAAATAAAATCTGTCTTGTTCACCTGCAGTTCTGGTTAAGCAATGTTCCCACCGCTGGCTTAGTACAATAATCCTCTTTAACTGTTTATCATGCTTCGATTCACACAATCTAAATGCCTGGAAAGTCTAGATCGTTCATAGGTGAGAATTGTCAGTTCTGTCTTGTAAGTCGCCTGATAGACACAACACCGGGAGAAATTCATTCTGAAACGGCTTACTTGCCACAAAGGCATGCCCGTGGATTTCCAATGAATACCCGCTTGCATACCTACACAAGTGCAAAGACCAAAATTATGATGGATAATTGGTGATATAAAGAATGCAGATACCGTAGGTGCAGGATCGGTAGTATGAAGCCCTTGAAAATGAAGTAAAATCCACATAATGGGTCATTTAGGTCATTTCGTGTTATAAATGAACGTTTGGCTACTGCAGTGAAGCATAATACAGTCCGATCCACTAGCATGTATATGTTCAAATTTGGGCAGCTTTGCAAGCGCCGAAATCTTTCCACTCCTTTAAGCTGTTTTTCGTTTCAGATGGCATTTATTCTACCTACGCTCTGGCTCTCATTTGAAACATGCTTTCTCACAAGAATTATGAATCAAATAGATAAGCACTGTCTTCGTTTCTAGCATTCAATTTTTATGAACTGGAAGGTTGACTGGCAAGAAATATGATTTACGTTTGCAAACGTAGTAGTCGTACTTTTTAGATCATGGGGCAACTAATTTGAAGGAAAGCTTTTCATTTTTAATCCAGTTAGTTTTTACCAATAAAGTACATGAAAATTCTATGTGCATTTTAGTGCGAAATGCTCCTTTGTATGCACCAAAAACACTTAGTTGTAGCCTGGGTACTCCTGTTATTCCTTCTAAAGGTGTCGGTTTTGTTCGATTCGCCAACGAGAGGGACGCTTTGGCTGCCTTGGATTCAATCAAAAAGGATCCTATCGTTTTACCGGAATGCACCAACGCGATCGAGGCCAAATTCGCAGATAAACACAATCCGGACACTAGACGAAGGCGATATCCGGTAGCCAATTTGCTCACTACGCCTCATGTAAACAACCTCATGGGCTATCCAATGACCATTTGTAATGGATCGAGCACCAACTCCCAAGATACTATTACTGCGTTGCTGAATGGAGGTCTTTCGGTTCACCCGGCAACACAAAACTCTCTGGTCACATTGCAAGCAATCCAGAACAAAAACGAATACGCTCAGCGATTGGCACAAAGTCTCTTCCACAACTCAGTTCCCACTAAATTACACCATTCTTCCAATAATCCAAATCAACTGGGATTGTCTGATTTTGGAATCACTCATCCGAACGTAGTGCCGCAGGAATCGCAGCTAAATGTTCTAGCAGCTGCTGCATCTGCGCTGATGAGCACCGGCCGCTCTCAAGGATTTCCGAACAACTCTTGCCTACGGGTTCCACACGCATGTGGTACGGGAACAATTGCGCCCGCACTCAGTGGAAGCCTAATTTCTACAAACCCACTATCCCTACTTGCAACCAATCCTGTATCACCCGCCGAGGTCAGTATGTTGGATCACAGGTGAGGTGGGATACTCTCTTCAAGAGCTTATCTACAAGTTTTTATCAGATGTATCTACCCCTATAAACTTGAAACATAGGACTTTTAACCATTTAAAGGCATTCATAAGTGCATTTATTGCATCACTGCATCCAATTCTTTAAAAGCTTTCAGCCGACGGCACAAACGAATCGCCATGTGATTGGCTTTTACTCGAGATACTCCAGTGATGATTGCGCTAATTGCTCGATTTTTTCACGAAGTTTATGTGAAATGACGTACAAATGTTTAGATCTGCCTACGCATACTACAAATAGTACTTGGTTGTCACCAGTTTAAAACGTTACCAGCTATCTACAAACACACTTTTGACTACCGAATATATCCAAGCGTGCTACTCTATTTGTCTGTTAATTACCAATCAATTCTTTGCGAGCATCTATGATTATTAGAAGGGACATCCGTTGACAGAACAACCGTATGTCGCCAGGCTTAGCATCATTCGTTAGAACGGTACTTGCAAACTGTCATCAGCACCTGACTTACTACTCATCCACTTCTGGCCACTCCACAATATTTAAGTTTAGGCACTCTCGTCAAAATAACGCACGATACATTTAAAACCTTCAAAATTCTGTAGCTAATGTAGTCCGGCGCAAGCTGCATACTGGACAACTAGGTGAAACAACTCGTTCTCCAGTAAAATACCAGTTATGTGATCAGTAGTTTAATACTTCTGTCTGTTTCATAAGCACACGAATGATATGTTGAAAAGCCTGATGTTAGTAACAGCTTGATCAAATGCAAGGAAAACATGCTAAAACGTTGGACGGCACGTTTCACGAACGTTGCATTGGTCAAACCGGGTTTAGCTTACATGGTGTGTGCACAGCAACTCTTCGTTTAACGGCATCACTGCACCTCTAGGCGGACTCATTTCCATTTCAAAGAAGCTGGTCAGAAGAAACGCCTTGCTTCGTTGGTAACACATCGTTCGTTATGCAATGCCGAGGTCACTTTAGTTGTATGCAGGTGACCTTCATTTTCACCTCAACCAGAAAGTTTCGTCATTCATGAAAAGACCTCACAAATTCGCTAACACCACAGATGTCGGAAGTAGGATTTTTCTATTTCTTCTTTCCTGTTTCAAGCCAATTTTGTGCATGAAATTAAAAACATAAACACAATCCATTTACGCATGTAAGTTACTCAAATTTGATGTGAATTTTAAAGCTTTTGGCTGCAACCCCACAATTAACTGATGACCGATTTCGAGGTAAAACCTGAAGAGGACTATCCTTTAAGTGTCGATCAACAGGTATTCAAATTGTAATGAAAATCATGTTTTGCCGGATGACATTTATCACGTGTGCTTCCTTACAATGCTTTTATGATGGTTTCCGGGACTTTGAATGGGTTCAATCCGATGGTTTCCTTGCTTGCACTGTATCTTCACGAGATGGCTGGGCTTCAGCTTCACTGAGGAGGATCAAGCAAATAACTGGGAAGGACAAATTGGCATACTTAGCGAATTTCATTGAGGATCACACCGAAATCATATCTTATGCCCAAAATGCACTTGCTGGGCGAAGGCAAGGTTATCACCGTGGTCGATTAGCAAGGGGCAATATAAAAATCACTAGTACAGGAAATGTCCACAGGAATAAATAATATTGCGCCTCAAAACTAATATTGAAAAGGAACATTAGGTGTATAGAAGAAGCATAACGGTTTCAACAAGTCACGTGAATCAGCTTAGAAAACTTGGATACATAGGACTCTGAGCTACGTTACCCATATAATTAGAAGCTCAACCATAACTTCTTGTACATGCTGTGACGGCACGGTGCGTCGAATTACGGCAATATCTGGTCGATATGCGGAAAACAATCCTGGAAGTTACACGGATGGCCAACTTTAGTCAGAACGCTTCATCTTGCACACAGATAGCACTCTTCGAATGCTACGGTTACTAGCAAACGTCGTAATGTTTATCCGTTTATTCCAAAACTCTGCCAGTGTTTGTTTTCGAAGGTTCTTGTTCGTAGTGGTATTTATTACTCTGATCATGCAGTTTGAGCGCACTCTTCTCTTTTATCCTGACGACAGCGGTCTCTATCGCTGCTCTGCCTATGGGAACGAGTTATACCGCCACTCACAACAACAGCAACAGCAGCAGCAACTGATTGCTGCCGCTATGGCGGCCATGAACGGCTCGCATGCATCGGGTTCCATGTACACACATCTTGCGGAAATGAACCCGTACCTAGGCTATTCCAATCTCCTACATCCAAGTCAGTCGTCGGTGAATGGCACTGCAGCGGTCAACTCTTGTCTGACACCTAATGGTCCAACAATCGGCACCATGTATGCTAACCCGAACACTGGTCTGTTTGGAGCAAGCACGCTTTTGGCCCCCACGGAACCAATCAATCTTGTTTCTCCGAGGCTAAACAATGGCCTCCATTCTTGGGTCATTCCCCATCAATTAGTGAAAACTGGTGCTAACGACACAGTTCCCCTGCCTCAAACTGCAATGATCACCAATCAAGGTAGGATCATGTTGCACAAAGTTATTAAATTCCCTTTTTTACTTACCTCACAAACTCTCCTTGCACAACTTGGCTTATTTATTGAAATTGTTTGTTGAAGTTGTGCAAGTTGCGCAGCTGACTTTCTCAAGTGCAACTTTGTTCTGACAAACATCGATGTATAATTGGACAGTAAGTTGGTAAACTAAACATGCATTCTAAGCTGCTTGCGTCATGTGGTAAATTGCAGGTGCGGAAAATCCCACTGTGTTTAATTAAAAAACCAACTACCAGTCGAATTCGGCATACAGCCCACGAACTCGTTCAGTTCGTATCGATTACTGTATCGCCCTCCATAGCACACACCCGTGCAATGCGCTTCATTCTAACCTTGACTGTCCGGATAACCAGATGTTCGAGCTGCAACGAAAGCGGTTGAGCGCAGCTAAACTGGCCGATGATGAAACCTTTATTTTACTAACAATGTCCTTCAATCACACAGGAACCAGGTGACAAAACTGATCGAGTTAATGAACGATAAACTGCATGTACATCAGTCTGTATACCCAAGTTCAGCAGGATGGTAAATGAGGACGACAGTACTATAAGTTCGTACTTGTAGCCATTTTTGGTTAGTACTTGTACTCAAGGGAGTGATTAGCGCAAATAACAGCAAACAACCGCCAGACTGAATCAAGTGGTCTGTAGTTACAGCAAACACAATTAAATAAAATAGCACCTTAGTGACATTTAGCAGGCAGCACAGCAATTAGGCTTTCCAGTAGAAGCGTGGTGATGACAAGTGTTTCGAGAGCGCAACCGTTTAGAAAACTGGATATTATATATTCACTGACGAATCGACTTATCTTTGAATTTGGATGGAATCAGGTATCACAAAAGCCAGTGAAGTGCACAATGAACACATTTATGAATGGTCTTTTTAGGGATTGGTGACTATAGGTGCTATTGTGAAACGGGTAAAAAAGAAAAAACATCGGATATTTAAAAATATGCGAACTCAAACTGCTACAGTTGGACGAGTCTGCTATCATGGCAGCATTCTACATGTTAAAGCATCTAAAAATAACGTGGTAAAATCGCAACTGTACATTTGGTGATAAACAACTTCTGATCTACCATTTGCTGTTCCATTTGAAATTTCGAATAGATTACGATTACAGTGGTAGCTAATCTCTTATGCTACTTCACTCAATCTCGTACGCCATGCTAAGCGACAATCAGAGAGAATATGACCGGAAGGAATGTTGGCTGGAGATAATCCTGTTTGGCATTCGGCATACACCGCACCCAAACGCATCCGTGCAGATCCGTGTAACAGTGCTTCAAGATCAGGGTACCCTAAGTGAAACTTAGTGCAACTCGCTCCACGGGAATGAGTGCATTGAACCGGCGCGGAATCGACGATTTCCAGCCACCATCTGATGCGAAATATATGGAGAGAACCAGTTTTAAACTTACCTAAGGCAGTAGGTTGGTTATACTATATTCCTTAATGACGGCCCCGTAAATGTGAGCGCCGTTGAGAACAGCAAATACTCTGCCACTACGCAAACTATTGGTGACCATCTTGGGGACAACCATGATGTCATGGCATTGGATGAATAGGCGACTATTCAAGACCTATCCGACGCGAACGGAACTGAACTATCAGAACGAGTTCATCGTGGAGCACCTGAGCTAACCCGTTTGTACAAAAAGCCTAGCCCCATGAAATGCATGACTACGCAACCCAATCACCGGAGCAGCCACGACAAAATCAACGCTACTCTCGTTCTGATAACGATAATGTAGGTAGGCAACTAGGGACGGTACTATGCTATGGCTTTGAACTTGCTGTGCGTGGTCACCTTGAAGGTCAAATCCTGTAAAGTTGGGCGATTTAGGGTATTTGAAGGAACTACATGGTCGATACAACCAAATGTGTATCAACACACTTGGGTGAAATTGCCCTTATAATGATTTGACGGAAAAGAACTTGAGAATTTTGTACTGTTATCTTACATTTTGTTAGCGTGCGAAATACCAGAATAGCTCCTGTTCGATGGTTTGAAGATAGCGGCTTTGTTATTATGGATATCTTTATGCATACAAACTACTGTGCTCAAAAAAGAAACCGAACCCTTGCAGTAATGAGCCAAGCGGCAGACCTAGTGCTTTGCGGCTATTCAGCGCATGTCAAATAATGGTCAGAGCGAAGCGCGCCAAATGGTAGTTTATTTTTCGAACATGCCGGTTAGCGCGCTATTTCCCAGGCGCGGTTCCTTTCGGAACATAGTAGTGTTTACGTGTCTGTATTGGCCATGGCTAACTTATACTGAAGAGGTAAAACTACTACTAGCCACTTATATAAGGTTAACAAATCGCTCAGCGTTTTTGAGGGTTTAGAGAGCATGCGCTGATTGCGTCACCTATGTGATGCACCCCAGCACTGAATGCATTTGTTATTCTTCATCTGGTGACATAGAAAAGCATACAACTCTGGAACGATCAGACTATGGGACACCAGCAGCTAAATCTGGAACGCTGAAACTACCACACTGTGTGTAAAGGAGACCGCAAAGACAAGTGTTGCTGAAACAAATACACAACACTGAGCAAATAAATTTAATCGTTTCCGCAAACGGTACTGGTAGCTAGTTGGTTTTTCAAGTTTGGTGACCTGTAGCAAAGTCGACGGTATATTCTAAGGAGTACTACACAATACGCCTAAATGTGCGACTTACAAATATTGTGAACAATGCACACTAATCCATTGGGTTGATTGGATATAACTTTTGAGGTCTTTACTTAAAAGCCGCTCCATTGCCAATATTGCAACAGTCACCGAAGGTAACCTGACGATCCAGCGATAATCGCGTTCATCACGTGTAAAAATATTTGAGCCTTCATACTACCGTTGGTTTGCAAGTAGTCTCACCGTATGGAACATTCCTCAGTGATTCATAGAAAAAACCAGTCTGAAGCAAACATTTGCTTTTCGTGATTCCTCTACGAGCAGATACAAATCATATGAGGGTTTGCGTACACCAAGCCAGAAGGAATTACTGTTAAGGTGAACGTACAATGCCTAACTCCTTTTCGACGGAAGCTATTACCGGCAGAATGACAGAGCCGCAATTGGGTCCCCACTGGAACCTGCGCTGGCGGATAATTTTCTCGCTAACTTTGAAAAGATATCATTGGGCCCATTTATAGACCGTTTCGACCAGTAGTATCGCTATGTAGACGACATCTTGTGCGTAACCAATAAAGATTTAATTGCACAAGATATAATGGCAGAGCTTAATAATGCACACCTGGCGAGCAAGTTTATCTACGAACTTGAACTAGAGGGTCAGCTGTCATTTCTGGATGTACACCTGAGTAGGCAAACCGAGGACCTCTTATTAAGGAGGACCAACAGAAAGCGAATGTGGAGTAGTCAATCTAAAAACTTCAGTAGCTTACTGCCGCTTAAATACAAGCGCAACATGGCATGTTGTCTCACGTCAAGTGCTCAAAAGATTTGCTCGGAAGATGCTCTGGAAAGTGAGACGAAGCCCATACAGAACACGCTGCGTGAAAGTGGCCATCCGGATAGACTTATCCAGCGCAAAATACATCTCGAACTAACATCGGGTGATGAGCAGTTAGTAGCAAAGCAAGCTCCCTTCCTTGGCCTCAGTTTTATAGGTGATACAATTGCTGGGGTTATAACGAAAAAACGGACACTGTGGATAGGAACACTTGCCAAACTACGAAGGTGCAACTTATCCTCACCACCAACCTGCGTATTCCTGTGTGTAACAAAGACAAACTGTCGAAGCTAACCACTTAAATAATCTGTCTATTTTAGTGCACCTGTGGTGCAACATATATAGGTCGACCGCCTCGCCAATCGTCACGTCGTAAGTGGTTGGCGAAAGGAGGCGATGGAGTATTGTCAAGCGGGATTTTGTCCTGCATCTTCTAATCAAAAAACTTGTTTTTGGTGATTCAGCGACGGTCCGTGAACAATACATTTAAATAGTTAAGAGAGGGTGGAGTAAGTAGCTAGAAAAGGAAAGTGTGTGCATAAACCATTTGTCAAGGATTTGGCTTTACCATGGACACCTCTAGCAAAGGAGGTTGCCGTGTGAACAAAGCACACCCATTATGGGCACCTTAATACCTTCATCTTCAAGCCACTCAATCCGCCCTTTTTCGCCTTAACTAATCAAATGTGTTTTATTTGTTATGACCATGAATCACCGAAAACGAGCTTGCTTGCTAGACTGTGTTTTCATGACTGAAACGGGAATGATTCACCTACAAATGCTCGCTGTAGCAGAAGCTATTGCGATCCGAATATTCCAACCCCTGTTATAATCGCAAAGTTTGTTCATTCGCTCAGTCTAACCTGGTCGAATAACAGTCAAGCTAACCACCACTCTGAGACCACATTCGCCAGTGATTACGTAATCCCGATTGATCTGTATGAGTGCGACAACGACGAACTACTCACTGTCGAACCATTGACCTACGCCTGAATCATTCAGCGCACATCTCTTTGTATTTTAATTATATTTGATCTGTACCGGCCTGTAGATAAATCATTGAAAAAATTATTTGCCTCAGACTGGTGTTCTCCATGAATGCATTTTGTTTACCAACAAATTTACATCTGAATGGTGTCCTATTATGACTTCTGCTAATGCGTCTCTAAGTTTATACAACTGAAAATGGTGCCTGGTCATTTTGTATCCTCAAGCCTCATATTTACCTTTTCAGACATCTAGTGGTGTGAATCATCGCCAGAAGTCTCCCAAGAAGTAAAGGGATACAATGCACAGTATCGTCGGGGACACGACATGCAAACTTTGTAAACTATCTACACTAATTTGATCACTTCTCTACCTTTCCAAAAATAGTTCGCAGTGTACCCGGCAAGACGATTTTCAAATCCTCCAAGAGTAGAGTAACTGAGTACAGTTGCATTTTTTTAATCGTTGTTGCTATCACAACACACCAGTGAAAGCAGTGTTGCTCCAACCCAACCAATGCGGAAAACACAAAAACTACCTGAACGGTTGCGCCATATTTTTTGTCTCTAACTTGATATTCTTTTTGGAAATGAAACGGTTGCACCAAAGTGTTTGCAATTTGGTTATAAACGACCAATATGGTTTCAGAAGCGAATGGCATCCAGATCTTTTCAGTAGTTTTGCGTAAAAGTTGTACAAAACTGCTTTTTTAGGCTGCATTTCACATCACTCTCAATTTCAATTGTTTTGAAAGAATTAGATATGTACTCTTTATTCGCCCTGAGAGTCGCAGAACCGTTTCGTGGTAATAACATTGGCTGGAGTCAGATAGAAAGCACTGAAACCCTACTCGAATAACTGTACGTTTACCCCAGCTGACAATAGTATTTTTAAATATTGTTGGTACTTTTAAACATTGGGAGGAAGATATACCTGGATTCTTATGAACATATTGTTCAACAGATGTGATGAGTCCAATAACACCATTGCGATAGTTTCATCCACATCTATTGAGTACAAACTTTTTAATTATTTAACGGGAGAATGTTCAGAAAAGTGACGAAAGATCTAAGTGAATCAGTGTGGTTTTAGTAGTGCTTCTGAGAATAAGTGTATACTAACAATATCATGAAAACATAGATAAGAAATACAAGTCATTTGGTGGGAAAGCTGATGAGATGTTCACAGATGCCATATGAATGTTAACCTAACTTGGTCATGGTGTTCAACTGTGAAGTGGTAATATGGTTACCCCATCCATCAAATGACGTTGCTGCACTTGGGTGCGGAGATGTTCGAAACATCGCTGGTGGGCACAAATGTCGACCTTTTGTAGTCAACATGGGTGTCTCTCAGTGTAACACCTATTTCGCCAACAATGTTCCTTCAAACCTAGCAGTATGTATCGAATGCGGTGACAGGGTCTGCTTTCTTATTTCCATCATCTTCCACATGTCAGAGATGCAATTTTATAACACTTTCGAAGTATTAGTTAGCATACAGTGACCTTTTTATAACAGTGGATGAGCATAATAAGCAAAATTAACATTTTTATGAAATGCATTATGGTAATTCGCGGACCGTAAACCAGTACTGCAAAGAGGTACACAAATCACCACATGTAGCTTTACCTGCCTCAGGTCACTTGCCTTGTTTTATTATTCGTGAGCAGGAAAATCATTTGCTACCATATCCTTGCATATTCCACCTTTGGGAATCAACTTCTAGTAATATTCCGAGTAGCCATACCGAAATCCACCCAGAGTTTAGAATAAAAGTAGTGTTTTCTGCGCATCCTTGACGTAAATCCTTATCGACACTATAAATCATTGGAGGCATCAGAGTATTTCCTGGCTCGGTACGTACGCCACCTCTGCCTGCTGGCATCTTATGGATGCTTTCTGACCGAATCCACCTGATCCTACATTGATTTCTAAAGACGAAACTGATATCTAAATCGTTACTACCGGAAAACGCAATGAGTGTAATAAAACTCGGTCTTCAAACGCCCACTATCAGATTCGACAGCAAATGCTTCTAGAACGATAAGCCTATCAGGAAACCCATAGCACAATACAGTAAATTGCCACAACATATGTGCAGGTATAAGGTGCTCAATGATGGGCCTATGATTCGAAGTGCGTTCGAAGACACGGTACGTGTTTAGCAAGAGGATAACGTGCGCGCTAGGGAAACCATTTCTACTGCATCGGTTGTGTTCTATTTGTAAGAAGCCAAGCTAACATTTTGTTTCACTGTGCAATGGGCCGAGTGGTGTGGGGTTAATCGAGTAATGTGATTCCGGGGTTTTCCTGAGCCACATGCACTAGCAAACACTCGATGTAAATGCAGCAATCCTACCGTAGCTGCGAGCCCCTTTGCTTGCGCCTGCATTCCAACCTCAGCCTCTAGGTGTATTGGTACTCTTCTGCGTCTATGCGGTCGATAAGGATGATGCGATAGCGGGATTGTTTATTCGATCCAGTCACCAAACCTGCATGGACTAGTATCTTTCGTAATTTGGATGTCGTCCTTGCATATGTTCGATCTCAGGGCCGGATTTGTGTGCAAAAGTGCCAACACCGAGTACACCCGTGTGGACCCTTCTCCACCAACAAGTGGTACAGCGCCATAGTACTGCATCAGCCTTTCTCATTTCATGCCGACAACGACATCGCCGACTTTGAGACTGTCTGCATCCAGAATGGTTTGTTTAGCGTCCGGTGACGCAACGAAGCAATGGTTAAAGTTCAGACCGCTGATACCAATCATACACCCTGCCATACTATGTATGAGTATATCGTAACTACAGACCGCGTTCACTATCAAGGAATCACGAGTGTTTTCATTCTCTATTTGTGATTGAGGAGGGAAAGCGCGGATTCGGTATCAGTCAAACACCTTGAGCTTTTACCATTCAACTCTACCACCGCTTCAATCATACCTTTGTTCAGCACACCAGGTAATCATTGTCAAACACGAGAACAACACATAATTTTATTTAGTACAAAGTATGTACCGCGTCTTGAATACACTACCGCTTTCAGTGTCCCATTTTCCTACAAAGGAATAATTGTCTCTCCGATCTTGTCTGCTGACGTGGAATTCGAGGTGCCCCACGTGTTGCATTATCTTTTCCAGCCTCGTCTCTAGCCTTTCCATTCGCTCAGGTTCTTTTTGGTATTCAACCTTCAATGGAACGAATACTTGCTACTCGGGTAGGCTCCGCCACGCCCGTTCTCTTGGTCAAGTTCACACACCGTAGCCGACCGGTCATCATCGGAGATAGACCTTCCAGCAACTGCTGCACTAACAGTTGTTGTCTTGACACATCGTCCAAACTGGACAGCGAACGGTTGAGAAAGTCACTGAAGTGGGCGGCGAATACGAACGGGACTACTTCTACTCCAAGCCTAGCCGTCTTGGATCGCCGCAAATATGCTGGCGGTCGGCTTGGCTGTCAAACCGTACACTCAGCGCCTACTACGCAGCAGCGTACTTAACATTCTTTGTACTTAAACATCGCTTCCGCCTTGTTTTTCAAGATACCCTGTAAGTCAACCGGCTTCGCACTTTCCTGCCTCACCCCGACTGCTTCCAAGACATCTTCGAAGTTTTCTAGGAAATTCCTCACGTTTCCAGCACCAACTAGCTCCTACCAAGGGACCCACATTTTGCGTCTCTTGCTGGTGACCGTGCTGAATGACGAGTTTTGTACTAGGGAACCCAGGTATGCATAGTATAAGAGTTTCAATATAGAAACTTGGGCCAAGTTGCGCATTTCCTCCGCGCTAGCTTTTTGAGCCGTCGTTCTGCTTCACCCCTTTTTCACAACCTATCGGCAGGGGTAGATTTTTGCACCACGAGTCTTTCGTGGGATTGATTTGTGCATCAAGCTCGCTTCGTCCGCGGCGATCCACGGGTTCGCTGCTTTCCTTGACACTTCTGATTTACACACATATTACCCATCAGCGGTGCACACAAGTGTTGACCGTGAAAGCGCGACCTCCTAATATAGGCCCGAAGTGCGAATAATCAAGTAGATAGGAAGTGGCTCTTGGCCAAACGTTCTTTAGTGAGATTGCTGTGCTTGCATGTATTTGCTGTAGAAACCGAGAGGTTGCTATTGCATACCAACGTGTTGTAGGAGGACAGCTCCTGTTGCGACGTCTGAACTATCAGTTGTAATAGAGAGTGATGAATTCGGTTCGGAATGGGCCTGAAAACTTATTTAAGAGACAGAATCTCCGAGTTCGGTGGAATCCGTGTGTGCTTTATCTTAGAAGGCGAACTTAAGCTCGTTCTCTCTGAGTATATATCAGTCAGGACCTGCTTGTGTTGAGCACAGCGAGGAATGAAGAGAGGATAGTAGCTGTTCAGAGTACAAAATCGACGGAAGTACTTAAATGTAGTTGGAACTGAAATGTCCTTAATTGGCTGGATCTTTTCAGCATGAACTTTGGTACCCGATGATGAGACGAAGTGACGTGGAATTGAAGCGTTGACTTGCCGAGTTCGCACTTAGTCAGTTTGCGATACTAGGCTGCGGCACAATAGGATGAGCACAATAGCTGAGGTATTTTCCACCTGCAGCTAACGTCCTTATCGATGATGATGTTGAGTCAAGCACTGGGAGAAAGAACGAAGATTATTGACTTGCAGTTCTATCGACGAACTGTCTACTATAATGTCATATAGGTAAGGATAGGCACAGTTTGGATCATCGGTGACATCATGGATGAAGAGTTGGAAGGTTCATACGGCGTTGCATTCTAAGAAATTCAAACAAACCGAAAAGGGGATGATGACTGTTTTAGGAATGTCCTTTTTATCTACAGACATTTGGTGATATGCGCGAATAGGATCAATCTAGTTAAAGATCGTCTTACCTGTTAAGTAGGTAGGAGGTGCTGCCTGTGTGGTATGTGACGGTTTACTTGTTGTGTGTGCGGTAACCACAGCAAGGGCGCAAGTCACTAGATTTCTTAGGAACCATCCGCGGTGTGGACTGTTTCAAAGGCTGATTATCCCGAGTTGGTCATGTTTCTCCGTTGAAAGTCGGTATGGACGATATGAAACGGGCCGGCGAGCAATTAGTCCGAAACTGGTGCTTGACCTGGGATGCTAATGGGAGAGCTGCGTGCATCAGCTGAGCGATCTTACATAGTAAGAAACTTTTGGCATGGGCTGATGAGCTTTTGGGAAAAGCGTAGACCGTGATGATAGATGTAATGTCAGCATTGATGCCACGCGCAATGAGTTTCCTTACAGGATAGATTATCATCTGGCGTTTTGCATCGACCAAGAGGACAAAATGCCTGAGAAAAGCAATTCCAATTATGTCAAACTGGATTGCAGCAACAGTGGATATCCAGCGAACGCTTTGTCGATGACTTAGGTTCAGTGTAAGTGACCGGTAAACGTGGGTGAATATTGTTGTGCAGAACTTAGGCTTGTTAACAGAGAAGTGGGCAGATCACCTGAGGTAGTGGGAATGACTGGGTTCCGGAATTACAATCCCCAACGTAGATGGGACGACTTTGAGTTTTGCATACGCCATTAGTCATCAGTACCAGCCGGGTTAGAAGATTGCTGCTTAGCAGCGCAGAAATAACATGGCTGTTTGTATCTACGGGATTTGTTATCGAAACACGAATGATAAAAGCAGTAACCAACAACATTAATTTTTTGGCGACGACGCGATGATTTAAAGTGCCGGTGGTGCTTTCCCTCAATGATTAGCTTAACGATTTGGGGCTGAAGCGACCCTATTTGAAATGACAAAGTGTCCGCTGTCGACCGCTCGCTAGTCGCAGGTGTCACTGGGGTTGCGCCGGTCTAAGCTTGGAATGTGCACTAAGTTCTGGCACGGCTGGTACTGTCCGATAACACGGTCTGA